GTATAGAAAAACAATTACGCCTATGGAGAGTCCCCACAAGGATAGCTGACCAGACGTGTGTGTGTGTGTGTGTGTGTGTGTGTCTGTGCACAGCATAATGCCATTCCAATCCTACCGTTTCTGTAGTATGCAAATACAATGCGCGCAACTTCACCTATTATGTTGAATAACAGACTGATTATTTTATTTTTATTTTTTATTTAGTCATTTATCAGACTACTATATGAGTAATGCATATAGCAGTAAAAACTTACAACTTACTTTTTTTTGCAAAGAACTAGATAATAAAAAGACATCCCTGTCAGAAAAGTCAGTTTAAGATGCTGTTTATTGCCTTTAGAAAATAATATGTGACCCTGGACCACAAAACCAGTCATAAGGGTAAATATTTTGAATCTAAAAGTTTGTGGTCACCTGAAAGCTGAATAAATAAGCTTTCCATTGATGTATGGTTTGTTAGGATCGGACAATATTTGGCTGAGATACAACTATTTGAAAATCTGGAATCTGAGGGTGCAAAAAAATCTAAATATTGAGAAAATCATCTTTAAAGTTGTGCAAATGAAGTTCTTAGCAATGCATATTACTAATCAAAAATTAAGTTTTAATATATTTACGGTAGGAAATTTACTAAATATCTTTATGGAACACGATCTTTACTTAATATCCTAATGATTTTTGGCATAAAAGAAAAATCTATAATTTTACATACAGTGTATTGTTGGCTATTGCTACAAATATACCCGTGCTACTTATGACTGCTTTTGTGCTCCAGGGTCACATATGAAACCGTGCACGTTTACAGTAATCAATATGTTTCATGCTTTATTGTGTTCTGATATCACACAACATACCCCTTTTGCAGTATATGTATACAAACGTTCTGTGATTTTTATTTAAGTATAGTTTTATACAACCATGAATGTTCTACATGTTGCCACATGGCCTCGTCATGTTGCATATTTAATCCATAAGTGAGATAAATCATCTAGCAACTGTACACATACAAATATTTCCACAATGGATGCATAGTCTACTGCATGCTACACAATTAGTATAAATAGTATGATAGTTTGCTATTCTGAACATGTACAAGATTATTTCATAGTTCATTATCAAGCCATGTTCATTTGCACAGTGGTAAACACACTTCCACATTTCGTTGTCATTTAATTTCAGGTTGCAAAACCTGACAGACCTCATATGAGAGATTCACACCCTCTTATGACACGCTTGAAGCATGTGAGACATCTGAAGTATGTCAGATGAGTGTATAATCATAACCAATAGTGCATGATGCATTAGTGAATTTTGAATGATCTGTTACTATGAGATTGGTTACTGCATCAGCTGTTTGTTGAATGTGTGAATCTTCTTGATTGCTAAGATGAACACATTTTCTTCTATCGATAATATTAAAATTACATACCAGTTTGTACTAAAACCAGACACATAAATGCATATTCGCCATCCTCGAATCAAACTTTATCAGCAGATGATAAAGAAAATCCAGCAAATACACATAAAATATGGATGTGTGCAGGTGCAAGACAACATTTTAAAGCAAAAATTAGTCATTATAAAACAGGTGAATGGTATTATGGTTTGGACCAGTAAATTCAGTTTTGAGTGTTAGCAGTCAAGACACACGGTTTCATTCCTTTCAAATATACATCACCTGGAAAATATTGCTTTCTATGTAATCCTGATGATATTTCTGGCCGTGTCTCAAATGCTGGGGGAAAAAGGAGAGAGAGAAAGTTCGGCTCATCTGTTCTGTAGCCAACAGCCACGATGTGCATCCAGCGGTCCTGTTTCAGATCAAAGACAGAAATCTGGAGGCCGGAGGAGTCGGGTGCACAGATACACGCAGATCCTCTTTCAGCTCCGCTTCTGTTATAGACACTCGCATGAAAACAAGCTGCTTTAAAGATGACCACACCAGCAATGCCCCCAACAGCTTTTATGATGCATTCATTATGCAGTGCATAAAATATAAATAATAAAGCCATAAATGTGTGTAATTGCCCTGTGAAAATGTGCTTTGATATTCTGGACTCTCTTCATTAAGGAAATACATAGGTTTTGCTTTTTTTATTATAAGGTGTTTTCGATTTATTGTTGTTCCTATAATTAATGAATATATTTTTAAATAGTATTAGCATGAATCATTCCCAGTATTTTAAATAAAATTGTTCCTACCTCAGTTTTACTCCTAAACATGACATTTATTTTTAAAATGTATTTTGAACTATGAACAAAACACTGAACAAATTTACTTGGAAAAAAAAGCTAAGAAACTATTTTCACTCAGTAATTGCTCAATTTCAAAGAAACGGCAAGTTACACATTGAATTAAATGTAATATTTTGAGGTTGACATTATTTATTTATAAGACATCCAATAATCTTTGTTTTATCTACAACTTCAAAATATCAGTTGCTACTTTTTTTCTTTCTTTTGCATGTACAAAAGATTTTTGACTATATTTTAACTTCTTAAAATATTTTTTAGGTAGATCACTGTAATGTTGTACATTATATTATTAACAGAATGCATTTGTTAATTTAATGACAGTTTGTTTTTTATTTTCAGTCTACACTGTAAAAATATGTTTTATGAAGTTGTAAATAAAACAACAGTTATTGTTGTACATTTTACAAGAAAATAGTATTTAAAACTAGTGTTTACTAGCAATTTCTAAGTAAAAATGGTTTAAATTCAGTGTATTTTTGTAATTAGAAAAAAGTCAGAGCAATTTTCAGAGCAAGATTTAAAAAAAATAGCGCCACCTGGTGTTTGCATATGTATATTATGTGTATAATATAATATAATATAATATAATACATTCTTTTAAACACACAAAACTGTGCAAGTACTGGAAATGTTATAACCCCATGACTCACTCAAATGCATTGTTGTTGCAATGCAATGTAATTGTTGAAATGCCCCCCTCAGAGAAACCCCCCTTTGTGACCCAATCAATGCTTAATAGGTTTACTAAACCCTAGTTACAAAGCACTAATTAGTTTGGAGGTGGAGGGCGATGTGTTTGCTTAACAGTTGGCAGAAGATAATGTTAACTTAACTCCACTCGCAAGCAGAGAAACAGTCTCAGAATTTAAAACCTAGATTAAAATTGTGTTTATATCGACTTTATTCTTTTATATTTTCAGATACATCCATTTATATATCTCAAACACAATAAGAATCTTTAGCATTTAAATCATAGTAAAAGATTAATAATTACATAACCGGTAAAGACATATATAATAAATTACAACATCACAGAGTGAGGCAGAGCGACAGAAATAATAATAATAATCTGATCAAATGTGGGTCTGCGACAATCAGCGTTCGTCTCTGCTGGACTGTATATCACTGAGGACGTTTTTCACCATGAGAAACTGAGATTCTCTGTGTGAACGCTTCAGCTTCGCTCTTCGGTTCTGAAACCAAATCTAAGAGACAGACAAAAAATATCAGTCAAACATCTGCAATAAACTTATTAAAATTAAAACTTCAATTAAAAAAAGTTTAGTTTAGTTCCAGTTTAGTAGTATGCATAGGTCTAGTACACATCCAGATATCCCTTAACAAATAATCCTGTATTACATAAATAATAGGCCTATGGTTATCGATATATAGATATACACCAGTCTTCACCTGAATTCTGTCCTCATCTAGATGCAGTTTCTTAGCAAGTTCTTCCCGTGTGTCAATGCCTGGGTATGAGTTCACTTGAAACACACTCTCCAATATCTTGATCTGGACGTAAAAAATGCATAGTTAATAGCAAAATTACAGATAAAACAGAGTTTACTCTTTATTTATTATATCGATAGAAATCACAAATAGTCCACGGCTGAAACAGCTTTCAATATTCAGGTTGCAAAAATTATAGCCTAGTTCACAACCTGCAGTTTTGTGCGTTTGACAATAAGAATTTTATTTTGAATAAATTTAGATTTAGTTCTGGCACATATGATTTAACCCTTTAACTGTCACTCACAGTTTTGAACACAGACGTGAAAGTGCACGATCCAAACTTACATTTTTATAATCCACGAACGAAAACATTTTGTAACGTGATATTGATGCACCATTTTCATGGTAATGCAATGTTTGATTTTAAAATGGGTTTCAAAGGATGAATTTTGAGATTTAAAGTTTTCAGTTGATATATAATTTCTGATGATTTCTAAAGTGTGATCAAGAAAAAGGCAACGAAGAAGACTTCTTTTTGACACAGGTCAGAACTCCTGTTGTGATGTAGATTTTTGAGGTGCACTCTTGTCATAAATGAATCTATTACTTTTCCTACATCATTTTTTTTACAAAAACATTGGTAAAAAGTAAATAAAAGACATTGTGTTAGGAAATAATCTCCATCAGTTCGCTGAGAAGTGCGATTGATTCAAGTGAATCGGTTTGTTCGAACGGTTCGCTCCAGAGAATCGGTTCAGTAAACCGAGTCATAGCTCGAAATTATTGCCAATTTTTGGTGCAGGGTTTACTTCGAAACAATTTCCCCTCAAGAATTTCATTAATAAATACAACAACAAAAAAAGCAAGCAACCCAGGTTTTCTTGTAAAACATATACTTAATAATATTTGCTTTATCCACAACTTATCCATAATAGTGTAGTTCCTAATATTAATATTAATGACCAATTGTATAATTTTATTTAATTTTCAAATGAATTATCCCCCAATATTTTCAACAATATTGTTTCTTACATATGGAAGATATTTTCACTTTTTTTTTTTAATAGCCTACTCTAAAAATACAGTCTAAAAAAAAAATCTGGTAAATACATAATATTATTCAAAGTTAGCCTATATTTCAAAATAAATATTAGCATATTTTAAAGACTGATACATAAGGCTTGTTGTCTCCACCTTATTCTGCAATGTGGAAGTCATTGAAATTTTCTTTGAATAGCTAACAGCAATAAACTATTTGCACTACAAACCAGTGTGTTTATTAAGTAATTCAAATAATATAATAACTACTTCCATTTTGCAAAGTCAAGCAGCATAACGGACTGTTTTTGTATACTGATTCAAGTCCAATCAGTATAATCAAACACAGCTGGACTCAAATGAAGGTGTAGAACCATCTCAAGGATGATCAGAAGAAATGGACAGCACCTGAGTTAAATATATGAGTGTCACAGCAAAGGGTCTGAATACTTAGGACCATGTGATATTTCAGTTTTTCTTTTTTAATAAATCTGCAAAAATGTCAACAATTCCGTGTTTTTCTGTCAATATGGGGTGCTGTGTGTACAATAATGAGGAAAAAAA